CCGGCGGGGCCCGAATTTTTAACTTGTGTTGGGCAAGGCCGTGGCCTAGGCAACACGGAGTTTTCCTCATTGGCATCCCAACAATTACTCCATTCACACACAGACGAAGGCAATGGCAAACCACTTCTGGATCATCTGCCAAGAACGTATATGAACAGGTCCCAGTCCGAGAAAAGGATGGAAGGATCCTGTTCATATGGACCTGTCGTCAGACAGAACACTAAATAATAATAATAATAATCTAATAATAATACATGAAATGTCATCAGTCATTGTTGTACATTCTGTTTCAAAATGCAGTACCTTGGCATCAATGTCAGTCATATATTTTATGTATGTAAATCTTCCGACACAGGATTCTAAAGGCAACATTCAGTGCGAGTATTGATTCTATAGTGGTGTAGCTTTAGCAAGTATGTTAAAGCATTCTTTAAAAGTATCTCTTATCTCCATTACTCCTTTTGAGGACCGACTGAATGATCTATCACTGACATTTCTATTGTTATTAGGAGCCATGAATTTATGAAGATTTTGATGAACAGAAGGATTTCAAAACTAACTCCATGCAATAGAGTTAATGAGAAGTTTATAGTATGCTCAGCTAGTCAAGAAATTCCCTTTTATGGAACCCAAATGTGTATTACCATTCTCACAGGAGCCTGTCACCAGTCATTATTCAAAGTCAGATGAATGTAATCCATACACTCAATCCCTATTTTCGTAAGATTTATTTTAATATTATCCTCTCATTTACACATAGGTCTTCCATACTGTCAGACAAAGAGGACCAGTTGATTTTATGCCAATTTAATTGTTAATTGTACTGTGTTTGTCTGACATTGGATTCTTATGCGGTATCTGAAAATATCAGACCAACTCTAACAGAGGGTCTGAAAGGGTTAGAAAATCTGAAATATTTACTAGTATACGTGCACAAGTAAGATGTTCAGATCAGTCTGTTGAATTTTATATCAGGTCAATGATAAATAATTCCTATATTTCATTAAATGAAACCTTACAAAGGTGATTATTCTCCTAAATTTAAAAGAACTTCATATTTGTTTTCCTTTCATTTTGTTGTGTCACAGGTAGTGCTGGTGATGTAGTAGCATCTGAAATAATATGGTTTGGTTCTCTTTTGTCTTAATACACTGATGAGTGTTCAAGAAGAGACTCATTACATGTCATTGTACGCTGAACCACAGTTTTGTCATGAATTCGTACAAATTCTAGTTACAAAGAAACATACCATTGGTGTCATCAGTTCAAACAATAATTTTGCCTGTTCTGTATGGGTGCGAAACATGGTCTCTCACTCTAAGGGAGGAATATAGATTGCAGGTGTTTGAGGAGGATATTTGGGCCTAGGAGAGAAGACGATGGGGCATGGAGAAAACTGCATAATGATGAGCTTAAAAATCTGTACTCCTCCCCCAATATTGTCAGGCTGATTAAGTCGAGAAGAATGAGATGGGTGGGGCATGTAGCGTGCATGGATGGGACAAGAGGTGTGCACCGGGTATTGGTTGGGAAGCCTGAGGGGAAGAGACCGCTGGGGAGACCTAAATGTAGATGGGAGGATAATGTCAGGCAAGATCTATGGGAGATAGGAGTTGAAGGCGACTGGATTTTCTTGGCCCAGGACAGGGTCCGGTTGATTCGGTGATGAACCTTCGGGTTCGGTAAGCCATCTAGTTAGTTAGTCATCAGTTCAAAAAGAGACAGTCATTGTTTTGAAGGGAAGCCAAGAGGTAGACTTCATTTATGAGAAATAGTTGTTGATCATGTCTAACAGTCGTGGTCCAGACAAATTTGTTTACAGTTTGAAATACCAAAATTTGCCATTTAAAATGTTTTGCATTAGTGATTGAGACTTCATACATGTAAAGTTTAGCTAAAGTATGTTATTAAAACTAGCTGACCAGCCTAAATTAAAGGAATGTGCACTTTTTAATTGAAAAATTAATGGTTAGTATTAATTTCTTGAATTTTATTATTTTTTCAGATGAAACCACTGTCCAGGTAATCAGAGTGAAAATTATTGTAGTGATAAAATATGGGACTCTCAGAATCCTTTGTACCTCTGTTATAGAAGAAAGGTGTGTGATGCTCCAAAAGTGAATATTTGATTAGAATATATGCACAATGACATTTAAATTAATAGGGAAGGAATGGGTCAATTTTGGGATAAACTTTTGATTTTTGGCAATAACATGTTAATACTTCTTGTATCAAGAACTGTAGTGTAGTAGAACTTTCACGACTAAAAAAGAGAATAACTAAAAGACCAAGTTAATAAACTTGGAAATGGGAAGAGGCATACGTGAATTTGAGAAGAGGTACCAACTTATGATTCACTTGATAAAAGATGAATGGTGATCTGCTTGCAAATTACCACATCTCACAGTATTTTGAATAGGTGAAAGAATTACTTTTGTTAGCTATTGATTGTACATAGGATTAATGATATTTGGCAGACTGAAATACATACAGCTGATCTATTTGTACCCAAGCCTAGCTGATTTGAGGTTGAGGTTGTTATCGAAAGAGTGAAAAGATATACTGTTCATTCCAGCATAATTGATCCAAGCAGGAGATAAAAAATTATGTTCTGAGATCCAAAAATGTGTTAATTTTGTATAAAACTCATTTTACCTGTTGTTTCACATGAGCGTTAAGGTTTTGGGAAGAATGCAGACTGAGGAGCTCCGTAATTTGTAATTTTCACCAGTTATTTGATGGATATAATCATTGAGAATTAAATCGGTGGGGCATGTAACACAGATGGGTAAGTCGATTTGGTTGTGAGGCCAGTAGTTAAGAAACCACATGGAATACATATGCATAGATGGGAGGATAATATTAAAATGTTTCTTAGGAAAATGGTGTGGATTTGATTCGTCTGGTTCAGGACAAGGACCAGTGGTGGGTTCCTGTGAACATGGTAATGAACCTTCAGGATTTATGAAAGGCAGCAATTTCTTGACTAGCTTAGTGTACTGTTAGCTTCTCTAGAAGGACTCTGATCCTTGTAGTTATTTAATTACACTATCTAGGCATATATTTCAATTGTGCCCTCAGAATCATACAGTAACGTGAATTTTTTTAAGTCCTGCCACAATTATTAGGCATCAGACAGGACTTAAAAATTTGAACATAAACAGATAAAGATAATGTACAAACAGGCTTTGCCAATCTGCTAATGTGAAAATCCATATAATTCTGTATATTCCCAATGATCACTGCTCAGTTTATGCCTTCCAAAAATTATGGTTTCTTCCCAGTTTTTGCCCTTTAAGAGAGAGAATTACCTATGTACACGAATTATTTATAACCCTTCTAAACAGGGACATTTATTTGTCTGGTACAGGGTTTTACTTGAACACTCGAATATTCTTTATAGTTTAGATGCGTCATGTTTGTGTTTTCAATTCATACATATATTTATTCTTCAAGTCTATACACAAACTATATTAATATTGATGTTAAAAATTAAAATTGATATAAATATTTCGCGCTATTCATCGTTTCCTCGA